GGTATATATTTTTTGATGCGTTCTTAATTGTTAATATTAGTAATCGAACAATATATTAAAGTATGTTTAGCTATTAGAAAAAAGATGACGTATGTACCTATATAATTTATAAGCAAAGTGCGTAATAACTACCTATTGTTTAAATTACTTAAAAGTAGAAAAAATAAATTTCCGAGAAACTTTATTTTTTTTACTTTATTAAGCTTGTTCACTTTTACATCCTTTCCTTAACAAAGTGGACTGAACAGGTTGTAATTTTCTAAGTCTGGTACACCGTCCATTAAAGAGTCCACAAAAAATTAGGTGCCAATAAAAGGACGGAAACCCATTGTTTGACGCCGTTCGTATCAAGAATTTGATAAAAAAAACATTAGGGTCCGTTCCAAAGAATTGAACAGAATACAATGAGCCCTTTGTGCGCAGGCGCCGAACGGTCTGGCTGTACGTCGCGGGCGCACGAGGCCGCCGCCGTCAAGTCTAGCGCACACAATGATCGCGTTATCAAGTATGTCTATGACGTTAAGGTTGAAATTCGAGTACACGTCGGCGTTTCTTAACTTCATGGTTGTTTATAAAGCGGCACTTTGTTCAGCGTCTTATATTACAGCATTGGAGTCGACGCTTTTTACGCATTTCTATATTCCCGGTGCCTGGGGGAACCGTTCGAGCAGTACTCGTAATATCTGCAAAAAAAAAGTTCATATTCTTTGTTGTGGCGCTTGAGATTGCGTGGGTTCCAGTTTAACGTAATCAAAATATATTTTTTATGCCGTATGTATTTCCCATACCTACAACTTAAATTTGAATGTCAAATATATGTCGCTACAAAGTATACTAACGTTAGTATTTCGCATAGTTGCTGAAGCTGAATTTAAAGGTTCACACACAAATAATAAGCCACAAACAAAATGTTAAAATGCCAACCTACACTTGTTTACGCTCTTGTTAATACCAAAAACGTGGCTCTTAGTCATAGTAGGTACTTACAACTATATCACGCCACCTCGGCCTATGACTCGACTTACACACGTTATAAACCTGTTATTTACTTATTAACATACTTATGCGTAATAAATAATTTATATTTTGCGGGAGGGACAAGGGTACATTCTAAATTTTTTTTTTGACAATCATGATGTTAACCAAAGATGAATACGGTTTCTTACTTTATATATTTTTTAACGAACGGCATGTTTATATATTTGGTATATAATATATTATGTATTGAACCAAATTTAACACAAATGTATGTAAAATAAAACAAAATCCACGTAGTCCCATTTATCTTTATTCACCATTTTACTTAAACATAACTCGATTTCTAAATTGAGGAGCGGTGATTTGGTTTCACCAAAATTATATTACTTTTAATGTTAATCTACATAATTTCTTCGAATAACTAAGAATGTTAAATGAAATATGTGACTTAAACTTAGCAAATTTTACTTAAGATAGTTCAGTTCAGTTAAGAATGTTATATCAAAAAAAAAAGTTTATTGTTGAGAGATCTACATATCAACAGAACAGTTTACTTTTTAGAGATAGGTAGAGATTTTTTTTAATTTCGTACCTAGCTAACATAATGTAGCCTACCAAATTATTTTTAATACTAGTTGACTATAATACGTGTTGACTATTGAACGCCCATTGTTAGTGCAAAAGCCATCCATAATTCATTGTTTACCATATTCGGTATTTTAGGAAGTTCATTCAGAAAAAGATAAGCATTGTAACTATTTCTACAAAAACCATAAGATTAAAGTTTTTTTCGTTAGTCTTTCTGCATTTGGTAACGGAAATTTTAACGTTTTATTTTATTTGTTTGTATTCAACGTGTTTTATAAAAAAGAATTAAAAACTAGTTACCTGGTATTAACCAGTTAACTAGTTTAATTACCTCACATTTACACATAAAGTACATAGTAAACTGCGAGAGCCTAAGTAAGCACTGTGTAAAAGACACACTTGCACTTCCAATTGCAATTATATAGTAATGGCGCCATTCATAACATTTGTGTTGTACTACTATGAGGCAATTCAGTTTTTAGGCTGCTGCCTCGAATTTTGCGGGCAGCGGGGCGGCGGCGGCTGCGGCGCGGGAGCGGGCGATTGCACCTCTCGTTACCCGCCCTCACGCCGCTGTTTTCGAGAACCGGTCCATTTGATTTTACGCATAAGATCCTGCCGCTCCCGCGCCGCCGCCGCTGCCGCCCCGCTGCCCGCAAAATTCGAGGCAGCAGCCTTATAGTGGCGAACACCAATAGCGCTTGTCATATTCGGGACTGACGGCTGACCATACTTACTTTGTTACTTTTTTAATTTACTTTCGTATCAAGGGTGGATCTAGAATTTGCCCCAGCAATATTCCCATTTCATATATAATATTTTTTATACCCACATGTTTGTTTAAAGTACCTATTAGTATATAAATACCCACTAACATAAGTTATTTTGTAACCATATCAATTAGAATTTAGTTACGCAGAAGGATGCTGTCTTGCCCTTTCCACCCTTGTTTCATATGTAAATGTAGAATTTCTTGTCACCGACCTGCTACCGAGATAGCATTGTTTAAATAAATAAATTGACCACTATTCAGATTACATTTTTTTACGTTTATTATAAGGTAATAAATGCACACAATCACTTTTGACAGGTCTTGAAAGTAGGTAAAGGTACTCAGTAAACTTAATTACTGTGAGATCTCTACTTAGCGTGACTATACAGTTGTACACTATATTATGTAATAACACTACTGGTAGCAAGGACTTATTCATCATTCTATAAGCCTGTGTAGGTACTGCATTTATAAAAAAATAAATTACAGCACTTCACACACATCAAATATTTGTCATAAATACATAGAATACAAGCAAAATAGCTTATGCTAAAATGTAGTCATTTAATTGCTCCTACTGGAATTTCATAGCAATCAAGACTATACAGCAGTTTTTCGTAAGGCTTAAAGAGTTTAAAAACCACAATAGCTACTAATACTATCTACTGCTGCTGCAGCTATACCCTATAATATAACTATGGTATCATCCATATGAATTATAATCTGTTTTAGAATGATAATTTTATGTCCGCGTAATTAACGATTGATAATGAAATTTTGCAAAGGACAATGAAAATATATTTTAGCTTACGAATAGATCTTACTGTAACTGATAAGCTAATGACTCTACGTAATGCTGTTAATTTTATATAGCTAAAACTTGTAAAAGTAGAAACATAATTTCTTTTTAATCTGGGATTCTAAACCATGACCTCCACCCAACACAGGGTCACTCAAATGAGTATGATTTTTAAAACTTGTTTACTAATGAACACCAGATTTAATTGTCTTTAAATCATGTTTTTATAAAATAGCGGCCTTTACAAAGAGAAAAGACGGTACTTATTTAACATTTGCAAAGAATTAGTCGGGGTGTTTCTAAATATGTCGGTAATTGTGCGGATGTCTGTATTTCCGTTTTGAAACGGAGGGAAACTTTTTTTTAACTTGTTCGACACATATTGGGTGAATTTATATACGGGTCCGTCGACGAAAGTTTGAGTGTCCATGGGTGGTGGTATCACTTAACATTGGGTGAGCCTCTTGAGCCTTAACACCGTTCTATAAAAAAAATAGAAAAAATCGTGGATATTTCATATTGTATAGAAAAAAATTTAAAAATCCATTCTCATAAAAAAAAAGTCTTGGAAATAGGAATCAGGAGCCCTAACTCCCACAATTTGCGCGGTATTTAGCTTCACGTCACGCGACACGTACCGTGTTTGTTTACTTGTATCGTACCGAAATGCAAAAACACTATAAAAACACCAATAAAGTGTCACTTGGTATTCTAAGAAATGCGCAAGTACAAAACAATAGTGTAAGATTATGAGAAGGGATAAATTATCTCCAACATCATGTTTATATGTAGAGAAAATCATTTAAACATAGAAGATATGCCATATTTTATACAGGTATTGTAAATTATAAGTAATTTTCTATGAAATATTAAGCAGTAAGAAAATCGTTTTATACCTAACCTTGTTCACAAAATGTCATTAAAACTTTTTTTCTGAGCTACTTAATATTCCTAACTTAGAAAATAAAAATTTTAGTAATTAAAGCATAACCATTTTTAGTAATCATCCTAATTGCCCTAAAAATAACAACAGATATATCTAGGATAAATAAACTATTTTTTCTTACAAATTTCTCTTTTAATGAAGAATAAAAATAGCTGCATTATACTATCCCATAAGGACTGTAAATATTCCAATAAAAGTAAAGTATTAAGGTAAAAAAATAAAATATTATGAAAAACACACTTTATGGTGTATGTATAGTTTATAATAATTAAATTTTATATTACTATACAAACTATATAAAATTTTATTCTACTCCCCATACTTCTTCAAATGCTGAACAAATCTTTGCACAAGTCAATGCAGCTGATAGAGGATAGTTACTTATAGATATTGCATCTTCTGAATAGTCCACCTCAATTTTACCATGTGCCATTGCTCCTATGATCATAACTATTGGTTCTTCTTTAGGAACTACTTCCCGACAAGTCTTAACAACTTTGGAACTGAATGACATAGTGATTTTTTTCACTCCAACAGGCATATGTGATGTTATTGGGTTTTTAATAACTTTAAGGAGTTTCATTGGGCCATCAGATGCTCGAATTGAAAATTTGTGCAGTAGCTGAACTGAAAAATGTACAAGATGTTATTATTTCTAAAGCACATGGTTCATATACTAAAAACAAGGAGAAAGTATTTTTTATAGAACAGGGGGCTTGATGTGATCTTTTCTTGAAGGACCCCAAGTCGAATTGGATCTAAAACAGTTCAGTGGGCAGCTGTTTCCACATAGTGGTGGTGCATGGCAAAAACTGTTATAAAAATGCTACATTGTGGAACTATGGATGTCCAGGTGATACAGGTGGAATTTCGTGTTCTGCCTCGATGTCCAATGATTAAACTCAGCTGCAGATATTAATCTAAACAACTTCTTGGAACACTCTCCATGGTAAATGCAGTAAAATATATGGAGTGATGGTGTCACATCTCTACACAATTCCAAGGGATAAAGCCGCAATATATAAAGCTAGCAAAAGTACTACCATACCCATTAATCCAGCAAATCTTTTAAATGTCCTGGGAATCCGAGTTTGTGGATTTATTTCTATTAAAACATTTTTCTCTGTGTGAATATAAACTTGCAGGAGTCCCGCTCTATTTAGTGGTGAGTCCATTAACATTAGAAGAGATTGATGAGTGATATCTGGACGACATGAACCTGGATCTCTGTCATTTTTTCTTAAAATGTTAGCATGATCATCACAATTTAACAATTCAAAACTGTTGCCATTCTGAAATCATAATTAATAACTAACAGAGAATGGGTGGCAGGGCAACTTTGATAATAGAAGTTTCATCAACAAAAATGTGGTCAAATAATTTCTCGTCACAATTTAACAATACAACATTTCACTGTTCATTCTAAAATTATTCATGTGATATTTAGATAAAATATAATATTTTGTAACTATAAAAAAATTCTGTAAATTTACCTTTACTGTTTCTAACTGAGCATTCTCTAATACAACGATTAAACGTTTTTCTTGTTTCTGAATGTGCGATGTTACTAAATGTCGAGGTATAGGATCGTATTCAAAGTCATCTGTAGTTTCAGCATGTTTCCTTTTTTTACCCATATCTGGAATTAAAAGATATAAATAAGCACTATAAGAATACGAGTCACGAATTATAAAGGACTAAAGGGCTCTTTATCTAGGTTAGAAAATATAAACACCATTACGATAAGTATTAACAATTAAGTAAACAGTAATTAAGACTTACTGTAGATTTATTTTGCCCGTATTTTTTTAATATAAAAAATAACAACCACGAGGATGTATGTTTCTTTATTTGAAATTGTAAACAAATAAAACGAGCTCAGCGGCTAGCTTCCATGTGACTCGTACTCAGGGTTCACAACCTGAAGCCAGGCAGTTATCGTACCAGGGCCGTAAAATTATCGTATATGTGATCCATATACGATAAATTATCGTACAGTCAGGAAAATGGCTAAAAATACTTTAAAAAATCATATGAAACGTGAAAATAAAATGTTGCAAACGATTTATAGTTTAAATCTTATAAACTTGTGTTTTTCAAATTGAAAAAAATAATAATAATTCAATCTCTTCCGTCAAAGAGGAACAAAAATACGCAATATTTTCTCGTTGAACAATATGGTGTTCGCTCTAAGTGATATACCTATTGTCCGTAAACATCGCATATTATTTTTATCACTTAAAATTCGTTAGGCATTAAAATGTTATCGAAGACTTCCAAATCTGCGTCACCATACAAATCGTGAATTTTTTGGCTGTGCATTCTGATGCGTTTTTGTGTTTGTACATTAACGCTTTGTTCATCTGCTGTAGTTGCCTTGGACAGCATAAGTTCTTAATAGAAAAATAAGCCAATAGATGGCACTGACACTAAAAACTGTAATTGTTATTGGGCTATCTATGTAATCATCAAATTTTTTATCAGACTGGAAATTATCGTACAATCTACGTACGATAGTCATGTACCATCGTACATCGTACGTAGTTATGAAATTATCGCAAATGTACGATAATTATCGTACGGTTGTGAACCCTGCTCGTACTTCGTAGGCCGTACTCCGTATAGCCTTTAACAGTTGACAGTTGACACTTGATAGTACCTTATTCTCTATGGGTCATCTATTGCTATCTCATGGGTAAATTAAATATTGAATGAGATAGCAATAGATTGGGGCCGAGGTAACTATTTTTTTTAACAGAAATTCTAATCTATTAGGTATATATAGGTCGTTGTTTGTCACTAAATCGGTGTGTCTGTCTAAAACTAAATCCCCTACTATATTTGATATCCATGGCCTAAAGGTCTAGATACCATAAACTCCTAAAAAAATATATATATATCCATAATCCAAGGATGTCAACAGTCAACTCTCAAGTCTCAACTGTTACTGTATAGTTTAATTTGTATTGTTTTTATATTTTGATATTCGATTTCGACTTAAGTATTTTGTTAATCATACTAAAAATATGTTATTGTAAGTCAGTGGTTACTTGTATCAAAAATAACAAAAACTACTTTAGTATCGATACTTTAATAAAAAATGTATATACCTCTAATACACGAAATCGTTTAGTTATGGCGAACGACCGGGAGGTTTTGCGTGAAATATGGGATGGAAAACTTCCCGTTTGTTTTCAGCTAGATCAAGAAGAGATTATGGAAATACAGCAACCAGACCCCTTTTATGTAATGGTTCCCCGGTTAAGTTATTTTCCCCTTGTAATTGATAAGGTAAATTTAATTAACCATTTTAAAATCTTGTTTAAAGCAGATCACATCATTCATCATCATCATCATTTTTATTTTAAGATGAAAAGGCATTTTCTTCGTTATATATCCCAAGAAAATGCTGACAATGAAATGTGGATGGATTATAATGGTCAACCATTGAAATGGCATTATCCCATTGGATTCTTATATGATTTATATTGTGGAAATGATCCCCAAACACCTTGGACTTTAACAGTGCATTTCAGCAAGTTTCCTGGAAACATTTTGCTTCACTGCCCAAACAAGTAAGTTCAATTTACATATATAATAATAGCTTAATTGTTTTAAAAATTAATCTATACCTTTTGCATTGTAGAGATGTAGTAGAGGCTCACTATATGTCAACAGTAAAAGAGGCTGATGTTCTAAAACACAGGGGACAAATCATGTCTGCTATGCAAAAAAAAGATCACAACCAGCTATGGTTAGGATTACAAAATGGTATGCACTTAATTAAGACAGAAAAAGTTAAATCTAATTGCAGTATTGAATATTCATAACTTATGCAACATTACACATTTTATATGAATATAACAAATTCAATTATCATTTCAGACAAATTTGATCAATTTTGGGCAATTAATAGAAGACTTATGGAAGCACATGGGGATAATGATGGATTTAAACATATTCCCATTAGGATATATTCAGAAGATGGTACATGCACACAACGGTTAATTAGTCCCAAAAACATTGATGGAAGTAGAAAAATAATTCAACAGCTTATATCTGAACTGTATCCAGAAAAACCAGGTAATTTCTGATTCATCAATAAGGATGTTTTGAAATGAAAGTAGTTTTTAAAATGTTAAGTCTATATTGATTATAATAATACACCTTACATTAGATTAAGATTTTAAAATGTGATTTTTCAGTAAAATTAAGAACACATGGCATCACAATCCCACTTGACACACCACTGCAGTGGCTATCGGAACATTTAAGCTACCCAGATAATTTTCTTCATGTCTGTGTGTGTTAGTGCTTCTTTTTTGCTATAATATTATACAGCTTAGTTTCAGTATATTTATGTTAAAATGACAATTAAAATATATTTACTAACAGGCAAATTTTATTTATATCTTAAATATTACAATATTTTTTTGACAATAACACAGTTAGGTTAGGTTGTTTAGGTTCTTAATAACAACATTGGCTGTTACGACTATCTGTTTTTACGACCAAATATGAGTAGTACCTTAGATGTTGGTTTAAGAGATTGTGTCTTTTGAACTGATATAAATTACTAGTCACAAGTATGATGATTGCTTGTGATGAGGTATTTTACAGTAGCTGTTGACTCATGTATCTTGGTTAGGGTTGAAGAACAAATATAAATACATATATGAATGATATAACTTTGAAATCCATAAGAGATTCTTCGTATCTATTATAAACCAGTCCATCTTCCATACTCACACTTGGATCTGTATTTAAATCAATCAGACAACAGAAACAAGAATTTTAAAATTAAAAATTCAGGTACAGGTACTCAGTTGCCATTTATAGTAAGTGAGACATTAGCTTTATAAGCTGTTATTTTGTAAAATAATAATAAGACCTTAGTAATTTTTCTACAACTGGTTTTAAACCATTCATAAATCACTCTTGACTTTGTGTTTCTGTATTACATATGGAATTTGTTTTGTAAATCTTTTACAACCATTATTTGCAAAAATAGGCTGATCCTCTGTAGGTCCATATGTAATAACTGACAAGGCATCTCTAAAAAAAACAATATCTAGTAAATTGCATATAATGATTAATTGGGGTACACAAATAATTATTGTAAAGATTCTAAAATTTCTCTTCGATTTAGAATCATTTAATATATCTAGTTCATCTCTAACAAAAAAAAATTATATTCTATATTATACTAAATATCATCATAACAATTTTTGCCTTTGATTAAAATTCTAAATCCGTAAATATGTATAAAACTACTAAAACTTTTTAAAATCCTAACATCTCAATGTTCTTACATTAGGCTATTAGAATGTTAATATAAATTATGAAAGAACATTACTGATTATATACATAATAATATTTGGAACTTACAACATCATTTCTTCTGTTGGGTGATATACCCCATGAGCTCTAAATTCAGCTAATGCACATGTCTCAACATGTTGTTGTTCTAGGGGTAAAAATGGTATGTAGTGATCTATTAAATTTTGAGCTATGGTAGCAGATTTTTCAAAACCACCTTTAAAAAAAGAGATATATACAGGTTACACAAACATTGTTAGCTGATTTTGATAAAAAAAATTATTTAAATAGTGTTGACACAAATGAGAACCATTGAATAGTATGTTATAGTAGTTATCAAGTATGGCCAAAACTTTACATATACTTTGAGGCTCATGAAATTGACATAATCAGTAATTTAAATTTGTTAAAAACTAAACTATGTAATATATATATTTTCCAGTTCATAGTTTGTGGTCTTAATATTATAAGTTAATTAGTTTTATAGATATAATGAACACAGAAAAAATTATAGATATTTCATAATTGATACAATAAAACCCAAAATTATCATTTACCTGTACTGTATGCTGTTCTTCTTATAATTGGTTCAAAGTTTTGAAAATCTACTTCATTCCTTTTTAAACCTTCATTATATAATTCCAAGAGCTTACTAGATATTTCTTTTCCACCAATATTGGAAATAAAAACAAAAATACTATCCCTGTTAAAAACAAATTATTAATTGAGTTGCATTATGAAAAAAATTATATAAAATTAATACTCATACCTAAAATCTATTCCATCAACTGCATGGTGATGGTCTAACATGGGTTTAATTGCATCAAGAATAGTTGGACACATTTCATGGATTTCATCAAATATAATTAATGAAGTTGGACAATCTTTAACAATCATTTTGACATCATGGATAAGCTTCATCTGCAAACAGGTGTAAAAAAATTTGTTAGTATAAATATATATAATAATATTTTGTTTACATAAAATCAAATCTATACCTGCGTCTCATGTATTTTAGTGCAATCAAAATCTTTTTTTCCCATAAACATTTTCACAAATTTGCTCTCCATTCCCTTAATGAACAAAGATTCTGCTATCATACTTGTAGCATAGTTTTTGCCCACCCCAGACCAACCATGCAAACTTATTACGAGAGCTTTCTTGTTCCTTTTAGTGTCATGATGTAAAGCTTCTTTATGAGCACTCAAAATATTTATTAACTCGGTTACAAGAGGTTGACCAAACATTTTCTGTGATAGTAATTCTTTCAGTTCTGAAAATAAGCATAACTTAATCAATATCCGAATGAAATAAAACGTAATCTATTCTTAAAACTTACTGTTTATATCATATGGCACGTATTTTTTATCGCAGCATTCCGTGAAATGACAAATTGTGTTGGACTTTATTGCATCCCATCCAAAATATGAACCAATGAGTATGGACGACCCTGCTATTATGGAAATTGGCTCGGTAGACACATAATAAATATTGCTTAGACAAAAGAAAAATAAACAAGTTACTTTAATTTTATTGCTCTTCATTATTTTTGTTTTAATCATTAGCCGAAACCTTGTAAAACATATGTGTATTGTACCAAGTGCGAAATTATTGATCGTTTGAATCGGCTTAATAAATAGGATACTAATTTAAGTAAATATTAGTCGAGTAAACAGAGGTAACACTCGCATTCGATAGGATATTAATTTTTATTATATTGAAAAAGGTTAAATCGTAGCCACTAGCCACAGCCCACAGCTCATAGTCGATATATCATTTAAACTTTTGATAAGTTCGGATTACATGATTCTTGTCTTGTCAGAGATTTTACGGTTGACACTTGACAGTACCTTCAAGTCAACGGATTGCCTATGCCCACGGAAAGGATTGTGTGGTTTTATAAAACCACGGTAAAAGTGAAACTTTTTTTCAAATTATAGACATTTACCTAAAATTTTTTGGAATAATATTCCATTAAGGGTATAAAAATAGCTTTATTAATCTTAATTTTATACTTGGAAAATTGTAATGATAATGGGAAATAATAAAAGTAGACTAAGTCTCTAACTAATATTTTTATTGAACTCTGTCTTAGAGGGTACGACATACAGAATACTTAACAATTATTTAGATTATATACAAATATTAAATAATAGTCTATACACTACACGGTCAACTGCTGCGAACTATAGAGTATAAGCGCCGCCATATTGGCCTTGGCTGCTATGACGAGCGCCTTTCACTTTATCCCTAATCCGCGGCCGACCGTCACGCGACATGCAACACACAGACGAAAAAGTTTGAGACGATATAATAAAAGTTTCACTTTAAAAAATCGTAAGATGCACTTGGTGGTCTGTAAACACTTAAAATAATGCAGTTCTCAATCTCTACACACGGTGATGTTAGTGAAAAATATACGCGATCTTACGGATGAGAATACAGCAAAGCTCGTTTATTTCAGCTATTTTCATAGTATCATGTCATATAGTGTTATTTTGTGGGGTAATGCAGCTGATTAAATCGATATTTGTAGCGCAAAAGCGGGCTATAAGAGCGATCTGCGGATTGTCCCCACGGGAGTCAATCCGAAGAAAGGTCAAAGGATTACATATATTATTTTGCCAAGTCAATACATCATGAGAATATTTTTATGTGCGGAACGTAGGCGTAGGTACACACACGCCGCCAAACTGTCTGGCTTCCCGCTTACAGGATGGCGTCCGAGGTTCAACCGCCCGATTTAAATTTAAATAAAATATTGTCATTTCTTAAAGAGCGTTTTCCTGACGGCATTAAAGCTTTTTATGAGTCACAAAGTACGGACTCACCTCGTTCGCCGTCTCCGTCGCCGCGTAAGACGAAGAAAAAATGCCTCCGCGAAGGCATCGCGCAAAAATAGTTTACTATCATCCGATCCATCCCGCGCTTGTCCGTTGTCGGCAATGTCGGCCCAATCCGCTCCGGCGGAAACGGTTGACGAAGCCGTACTATCGTCGTCATCGGAATCCGACGGATTTCAAACCGTCGGACGTAAGAAAAAGCGTTCGGCTAACGGCGGTCCACCCGCCAAAAGGCCTACACAGCCGTCAAACCCTCCGAAGAGGGATCTAAGTTCCCTTTTAACGGAAAAACCTGCGCCCTCCGCCCCCGCGGATCGCATTAAAACCCCTCCGCTTGTTTATGTTAGGGACAAGGGCGTATGGCCCACCCTTTCAAAACTTCTCGACACAAAGTCGATAAATTATAAAGCCCGAACGTTGAGGGACAACTTATGCATACAGGTGTCTACACCTGAGCACCATCGCTTCCTTACCTCATACCTTCGTTCCGAAGGTATCGGAGGACATACTTTCCCCCTACCCGAGGAGCGCGTCCTTAGGTTAGTAATAAAGGGCATTCCGAAGGAAATAGACTCCGGTATTGTCCAAACCGATTTAATCGAGCAAGGTTACCCCGTAAGGGATGTTTTCCGTATGCTCCAACGGACCACAAAGGAAGCATATGATTCGGTCTTAGTAGTCCTTGACCCTACCCCGAGTGGGAAAAAGATTTTTAGCCTTCGGGAGTGCTGTAAGCTCTCGGGGTTGAGGGTTGAAACTCCCCTCAAACACTCTTTTACGCGGCAATGTCATCGCTGCCAACTCTACGGGCACGCAGCCCGAAACTGTTTTGCGAGGGCGTGGTGCGTCAAGTGTTTAGGCGATCATGGCACCTCGGACTGCAAGCGGACACTCCCGTGTGCTGAGCCGCCGGCGTGTGTGCTTTGCGGGCAACATGGGCACCCTGCGAATTATCGCGGTTGCTCTAAAGCCCCCAAGGCGCATAAGCCGTCGTCTAGGCGCATGGTGGGACGCGATGCGGCCCGTCGTGGCATGGGAGCTAAGCCCACATACGTGCCGGCCCCACCTCCCGAAATTAGTCCCTGGGCTAAGCCCCCGTTACGGAGAGCCCTCCCCAACTCACGTCAGAAGCCTTCCCGCCTCTGCCACCCAAATCGGCAACCGCAGCGCCTTCCCAGGCCCCTGCGCCGACCCCTATCATAAAAGAGAGGCCCACACTTAATGCGAGCCCTCCTACTCAAGCCCTCAGCCCTCCCGTGAAGGTATCTGAGGAGTCAGGCAGCGTGCGCAACGCTTTTAATCTTGCGTTTAGCGTAATAGGCGCTATAGACTTGGACGCTCTCGTCGCATTCGCGGAGGCTTTCAAGTCCGCTAAAAATGCGTCCGCCAAGGTGGACGTAATAACCGAGCACGCCCTGCTCCTTAAATCCGTGCGGAAATTTGTAGAGTCCGAAACACCGAAATAGCTACGACCACGTCTAGGGTCAAGGCTCGATCACTGTCCGTAGTGACTTTCAACGCAAATGGTTTCAAGCCGCAGTCAGATTTGGTTCGGGATTTCCTCGTTCGCCACCAAATTGATATTTTCCTAGTACAGGAATCGTTCCTAAAGCCCAGCGTTTGCGCACCTAGATTCGCGAACTACGTCGCGGTGCGAAACGACCGACCTACGGCGAAAGGCGGTACGCTCATCTATTATAGACGCGCGCTTCATTGCTCACCGCTAGACCCGCCCTCATTCCCGATGAGCAGTTTGGCTTCAGACCAGCCCACTCGTGCGTCCACCAAGTCCATCGAATCACGGAGCACATCCTTTCCGGGATGAACTTCAGCTCCAAGAGACCGAGAGCCACGGGTGCGCTCTTCTTCGACATAGCGAAGGCTTTCGACAAGGTCTGGCACAACGGCTTGGTTTACAAGCTCTACCACCTTCAAGTGCCATTAAGACTCGTGCGTATCGTACACGACTTCTTGTCCGACCGCTCTATGCGCTATCGTGTAGAAGGGACATTATCGTCCCCTCGACCCATCATGGCCGGAGTCCCTCAAGGCTCGGTCCTCTCGCCCCTTCTTTTTACGCTGTTTACCGGCGACATTCCTAGGGCTCCTTACGTGGAGCTAGCCCTCCATGCCGATGACACCGCTCTCTATACCACTCACAAAGATAGAGGTGTCATCGTGGACAGACTCCAGACCGCTACTACGTCGCTAGGCGAATGGTTTCGGAAATGGGGCTTCCAAATAAATCCCGAGAAAAGCGTCGCAGTTCTCTTTGCCAGGGGTAACCCCGGTGCGAACGCTCATTCTCGGGAAAAATTCCGCCTCAAAAAAGAGGTAACCCTATACGGGCAAGCCATCCCGTGGCAAAAATCCGTCAAATATCTAGGAGTAACTCTCGATAGCGGCATGTTTTTCCGTAAGCATATAGCCGCCGCTCGCAAGAAGGCCTCTTTTGTCCTCTCTCGCCTCCATTTCCTCCTAAATAAAAGGAGTAACATGTCCCTTAGACACAAGGTGACATTGTACAAGGCCTGCATCCGACCGTGCATGACATACGCTAGCGTAGTCTTTGCTCATTGTGCCCCCTCCCATATCCACCGGCTAAAGGCGCTTCAGATACGATTCATGAGAGTCGCGACCGGTGCGCCCCACTATGTGAGCCAGACACAGATTAGGGTAAAAAACCGCCTTCACCGGGGAAGGCGAGGACCTTTACTTCGCTCACTCCAGTGAGCTTCCGTCCTGCCCTTCAGGCGATTGACCACCCCGTGACGGCCCAAGCCGAGGTTCGAGTCTCACAGGAGACGCCCTTGCGCTAGTCGCGGGAAATACGCCCATTCTGGCTGAGCTACGCTCGCCAAAACAGCCCGAGCTGAGCTGTAAAGGCCCTTAAGGCCAACAGCGAGATTCCATTAAAAAAAAAAAAAATTGACCCTTTTCTGCGCGCAGCCGTCGAAGCGTACGAACGTATTCTTCTCAGAACACTTCGATATCGTAGCCTTACGATAACGCTAATAAACTGTTCTTTTCAGAACACATTATCGTATCTTACGAAAACGTTTATCAACTGTTCTTTTCAGAACATATTATTGTTTCTCGACGAAAACGTTTAACAACTGTCCTTTTCAGGACATATTATCGTGTCTTACGACAACGATGAAACTGTTCTTTTCAGAACACACGACCGTATCTATTCTGATCTGTTGTTCCAAGGCAATTGTATACGTTTTTCAACAAAATCCCTAGTGAGATACAAATGTTGTCAATAATAAATTTAAATCATACATTATCATACATACATCATTTTAATCATACATCACCATGCCTCCTGCTGATGGAGGACAAATCTTTGTTTTTAATTTATTTTATTATTATTAATTACTTAAGATGCCTTGTGGAACATAAAGTGATGGTTGCAGCTCCTTACAAACATTGTAAAAACAAAAAACTTGGCAATTAAAAAGAGTGGTGAAGAGTTTATTGCCAGTTCTTCTCTTCTGTTCTACGCACTTGATTTGAGAACTGGCACTAAATGTAAAATTAGAACCATTTCATCTATATTTATTTTTGACGTTCATAAGTTACCTAAGTCAATAAATGATTTTTGAATGTAATAGTTTGATTAAAGAAATTTAAATATATTTTGTTTTTTTTTGGAATTCACCGCTGGCCCTCACTTAATTAGAGCTTCAAATTATTTACTTATATTGCTCTTAACAATAAGGCCGCCAGTTGTACTGTTTTGTAATGTTTGTATTTATTTTCTGTAATTTCTTTGTGCGTACAATTAATAATTTTACTACCGTATTTTAGGTATTTCCTGAAAACCTACGAGCTTCACAGAATCTACTGTATTTTTAATCAAATTATTGTAAAATTTTGCACAATATCCAAATTCATTAGGCTGAATAGGCATAATATCTATTACTTTCGAAAATAAAAAAGGGTGCGTGTACTTATGTACGCGCGTAGGAAGTTACTTTATACTTCTTTGGCATTATTAAAAATAGTTTTTGATTGCATGCAAATAATTAATTACAATTAAATAATCAAAGACTGGAAAAGGAGTCATTATAGTCAATAAAGTTCAGTTTACATTTGAAATATTAAATAAATAAATATTTATTATTATTCTCTTACATTAAGTGTAACATAAATTCTATTAGGTTAAAAGTATATATTATTATATATTTAGAACATCTCTACCAAACACTAAGATGTATGTTGTAGCTTTGGCAGTATTGCACAATATAGCCATTGATTTAAAAGAGGAACCTATCTCTGATGATGATGAAGAGACCCTGCCCTCACTACCAACAGTGCCCTCGTCTCAAAATATACTGCGTGGAGCAGCAGTGAGAGCCATTTTTATTGATGAAAACTTTTAAGTTTGATAGTTCTTAATTTAGGTTGTTTTAACAATCAAGTTATTTAAACAAATAAAACACTATTTATCTTTAAAAAAAAAATATTTCATTATACTATTTATTTTTAAGTGACTAATGTCTTCATCAGAATTTCGGTTTGTAATTTTAAATTAATCATTACTTGGTTGTGCATCTCTGCCATATTCTTAACTCTGTGTTTGTGTTCTATTTGAAGCCGCTCATTTTCCAGAGCCCGAAAGCTCATATGGTACGAGGCTTCTCCAAAACTAAAACTACTTGCTTTCTGCAACAAATAAGAGAATATTAATTTAAGCTCTGTCCATGCAAAACTTTAAAAAATATAATTCATATTATACAAATCCTTCCTGGAAGAACAGTCTATATATTAGTCAGATCAAAATTGTTGTGTAGTTTAGAAAAACTAATTGCACATGCTACAGACAAGGTGATGGTGGCTGGCTTTGGTCCACCTCCAGTTTTTGATGTTTCACGGCGATAAAATGACAACTCTTTTTTTGTATTCAATTTAGTGCACTTCCACTGATTCATCAATTGTTTTATGTCTCTTGTCCTTATATTTGCTAGATTTAATCTGAAAAATTACATGTTTTGATTAAACAATGTGGTCATTTTTTTTGAGATTCAGGTACTTATTAAAATGTTTACTTCTCTGTTATATCGCTCCAAGCCTTCATTTTCTCCTTATTAGTATTCGTGCTTAAATCTTTTTGCAAAAGCAATGAAAAACCGTTCATGTTTCAGTTTTACTCAACATTCACAATTCTACATACCTTTTCTTCTTTCTCCCAATTAATACAGCGTTCTCTTTTATTACTAAGCATTTTAATATCGTATGAAAGTGGTTATGATAATAATAATACATACGGATAGTTAACCTCAATTGTATTGAAGCACTTAGGAAGGTTGATGAGCACAGTTTTTTCACAAATATTAATTAGTATTGATTTAAATATTTAATTTAAATCACTTCTGATTATAATTCAGACGCACGTCATATAAAATTCGCAACTGTAAAATGAAAATAACTAGGTATGTTTGATAACCTTTTAACTAAGTAAAAATAGGTCTTTGTGAAAAAGCATTGCTAAATTTCTTTGAAAAAATAATGAAAACCCCTTTATTTGTTTAAAAGGTCTACAAAGGTCATTATGGTCATTGGAAATTCTTAGCATAGCTGCTAACTTCACGCATATTCTATTTCTTTTTACTTGTAGATTATCTTATTCCCATCTCGCTCGCGCACGCTCGGCGCCCGGCTGGTTTAAAAAGAATTCGTTGGTGGGCAACTTCATATTGATAATTTTGTGTCACGGTGCGCGCGCATCGTAAAATTTCATTCTCATAACGCGCCTAAAGAAGTATAACTTCAAAAAAGTTATACTATAATTATTTTTTTCTTTAATCAATTTTTACTAAATCTACGTAATTTTCTAAATCCGAGTTGGCAACACTGCTTACGGCCAAAATAAGTACATGATGGTACACCGTACAAGTATGAACTATGAACTATGAAGTTAGAACTTAGGGTGAGATCTATAGTGCGCACTTAGACTTTGCTCTGACTTAACTATCGAGCTAAGACACAGTCGGTATTTATAGAGCAAACTACGAATCTCTCCCTAGTGTTGGCTTAGCTTAATCTCAAGTCCACGAAATCGACGACTTACCAAAAACTTTGACTATAAGCCTAACAAAAATAATGGCCCAAAATTTGCTTTACCATCATATCTTTTACTGGACTTTTTATTTTTGTCGGTTTTTAATGAACGGTGTTGCCATTTTGTATCGGAGTTCCATAGACTTTGGGAAAAATAGAATTTGAATTCAAAGAAATTATAAATGATCTTGATAAATACCTATGAAATGCATGAAATAAAATAATTACACATTATTATGGTATTTATTGTTGTTTATTTATATTATTTATGTAATTGTTCAAACCCCATTTTTGAGAAATCTTAAAAAATAACTGGTGTGATTTTGTATGTCACCTGGCAGCCCTGGCAATTGGCATATTATAGTGACAACGAAATTCAAACTATAACCTAACCAAAACATTGCGATCCGTTCTACGTAATAAAATTATTGTCATCTTTAAATAATTAATACATTTTCTAAAGGTTACTCGTGAATTTCTAGTTATTGCAATAATAAAATAAATGAATACATAAATAACAATAAATTGAAGATATATGTGTACCGTTTTAGATTTTTAAATATTTGTTATTGTTAACTTTTTTTAAAGGATAATAAACAAAGTATTGCATGAAATGAAACATCAATTTGTATTTTGACATTTTCTGTCTTAGCTTGGGCTTAGCTTAATCTCACCGTTAAAATGTCTATAAATACGAAATCATAGTTTAACCTTAGTGTACACTAAGCAAAGTTTTTCGTAAGGTAAGTCTGAGCAAAGTCCAAGTGCGCACTATAGATCTCACCCTTAGAAGTAGTACAGCTACAGTGTAAATTGTAATGTGCACTGTATGTAGTTGTTTTATTAGCTGAGTTTACTGTTACACAAATACATGTCATAAAAATGGCATTGAATTTTAAACTTGAATCAGGTGTTCAGTTACTGTCACGACTATCAAAAAAATCGGTAATTGAAAATTTTTATCCTACTCTGTTCAAGTGTGGTCCGGAAAAAGATGAAGTTATTGAAATATTTAGTAATAATAGCGCAAATCCGCTGCTGTATGATTTGATATCAGAAGCCCTGCTCCCGCATTTAGTTGGGGGTGTTGAAACTGGAATAGTATTTTTTAATACTGATGGAAATTTTGATAAAAACAAGTTCATTGAATTATTTAAGCACAAGCTTTATACCAATGTAACCGAAAAGAAAATAATCAATTTGAATGATGAAGCAATGGATATAATAATAAATGGTTGTTTAAACAATTTCACTGTAATAGATGTTTATGATCCTTCTCAATTCATAGTATCTGTTCAAAATTTAGATAATATGTTAATGAAACACTCAAATATATCATTAATAATATTTAATACTTTAAGTGCATTTTATTGGTCAGAACAAAGTTTTAAAGTTACAAAAATGGATTTATATTTAAAAAAGCTGCTTAAGTTTGTACAGAGAATAACTAAAGACTTTAAAGTAGTGATTTTGTACACTAGACCAGAATATTTTTGTAGTAGTAAAGAAGCTATAGAAAATCTGGAACCATGTTGTTCCATGCCAACTGAGGAGAGAATAAATTACCGGTTGCAAGTTAAATATTCAAGTAATAATAGTGACTGCAATTATGTTGTTGTACAAACTGCTGACAAACTTGTAAAAATACCATTTATATTAATTAATGGAAATATATCTTGGCAGAGTTGAATAATTATGTTTTAAATAGCATAGGTAAACTTGAATAAAATAATACACATACTTTTATTGATTTTGCAAAATAAAAAAATTTAAATTAATTTTACAAGTATTAATACTGATATAAAACCTTATTAAAAAATTATGCATGTCTTCTATAAGATTTAATACTTCTGATTAATAAGTTCATCAAATAATTACTTTGTGTTTTTAATATATAAGTTTGTTAAAATAACATGAACACTTTACATTATATTCATATAACATTCTAGAAAAATTGGGTTGGTGAAGTAAATATACCCCCTTATTAATAAGTGCAAAATCAGTCTGTTGTAACTAAAGTAGTACAAATCTCTTTCTGTTAAATAGTATTTTAAAAGTGGTGACAGAATGATACAGAACAGTGTTTAAGTTAACAGTATAAGACTGATATTTTTTTGTTAGGGTTTGTTTTCATTGGATTGGGTGTTTTGCATTTGATTGACTAATTAACTGTCAACCTAATTTTTATAATGTAATAAGACAGCTACACATGTAATCAGGTATTTTTCTCATATGCAGAATTTCTTTAAAATATTAGTTATAATATAATTTTATTTACTAATCTTTTAAAGGGTTTACATACAGGATTTGAGACTTCACTTACATCATTAAATATATCACATAGAAAAAAGTAGCTAGGCCATGGTTAAAAAAATCTAAATTCTCCCATTTACTAATGGTATGAGAAAATGAATATCCAGTTTCTTGTATTGAAAATGATGCTTCAAACATCACTCCCAAATATGCCAAGTGTATGACAGTTATTAATGAAAATAAAGTGTTTAAAAACACTGTTAAAATGCAATTTTTCTTATATTTATGCTCACACTGCTTTGTACATGGGTTTGCTAGGCAACATGCTTCTAATGCAGATGCAACTTTAAGTCTAAAATTATATTCAATGTAAGAAAAAGTTCCTATACTTAATAGTACAGCTGATAGCTGAAAGTTACATCCATGGAGGAGTGATGATACAACATATGTAGATAGTATTGCAAAGAACTGTCCATAGGCATGACATGATTTAAATACATAATTCTTGAGCCATTGGTGCATGGGAATGTTCCAAAATATAACAACTTGCACTAAAGATCTTGGTAACTCAATAAATAAAGGTTTTGTGATTTGGATTTCAGAATGGCAATCATTTGTCAACCCAAAACCAGCACTCAACATAGAAACCATAGACATGCTTGATACAAAATAATGAGACATCCTAAAGGCCTGAGCATCTCTATATGCTAAAAGCCACTTGGTACTATCATCGCTGATGATCCAAGGCACAATACAATTAGATAAGTTTAAAAATATTAATGCCATTGCCATGTTTCCTGCAATTACTTTAATCCATCTCTTTGTTAAGAATTTGACACCTAAGTATTGATCATAAGAGTGGAAAGATATCCATGGACCCAACATACAGTTAGCTGGGCAAAATATGTATCCAAAAAATTCAACTGGGTTTATCATTTTCTTAAATAAACTTCGATCCAGTTCTATAGCTACTGATATTATCTTCATAGAGGCTATCATTTGAATTCCTCGTATTTGTTGCCACGTCTTCGGGTTGATTAGGTGTAACTCACACAAGAGCAGAAATGATATAACACACAGACAAGTTATAGGTCCTCTCACTCTTTTTCTTGTAGACAATGATAAAATTAAAATAAGTATATATACACTTAATGTAAGTCCAAAGATCCAAATAATAGCTAATCCTATACTATGATACAACAGTAGGCCCCCAATAATGAAGCTCAGGCTATGACGAACATTATGAGGCATGGGAATATATTGTATAGCCATTCGTAAAGCAACACTTGCTATTAGTAAATCTTTTGCAAATCTTAACCCTTCATAGAGGGTAGGTTCAACACAAAAAGATAAATATGACCAAGTACTTTCAATATATTCCTCTTCATCCATTTTTTTACTTTTTAAGATAACTAATCAGATAAGGAGACCTCCCTTGTTATTAAATTATTCACGGGGAATAAAAGCATAATGTCTATTACTAAATTTTTTGTTTGATAAAATGATGCTTCATAGCTTCAGCTTGTTGTTTTGCATATTTATTCACTTATCTTTAACTAAATTAAATTAGAATGATTCCTTTTACGTTAAATATTCACTTCTCTTTTAAATACATTTCACAATTATTCACAACGCTTTAAGATTTTATTTTTCTTTCTTGGACTTGACGTAGTCACTCCGTTAAATTTAAAAATTCACATCACAGATATCTTAATATTGGTCTACGATTCAACTAACAAATGCATTCAGCACAGATTTTAGACATACTTGCTGTAGCTTGTGTGTTTATTTAAAATATGATATGTACTTATTTAATTATACATTTTGTTTACTCAATAATTTTCTTATTTAGAATAATGAATTTACAAATAAAAGTCATAGCGCGCTGTTTTCAAATTTAGTTTTCGACTTTCTACATACACTACTGTTAAGGCATCTTGTCTAAGGCCCCTGTTGAGGGGGCCCCCAAAAAAAACCCCCTTTTTTTTTAAGAAAAAACAGTTTGTGTAAAAAATTTTTCAAAAAAATTTATTTTTTGACGTTCTACATACACTACTGTTAAGTCTTGACTAATATCAACAGTTATATAAAGTTACAGATGATTTTTTTTAAAGGTTTTTTAATTTCGTTGTATATTAGTTTTTCACCCTCCAATTCCATTCATGCAACACAAAACAGCTTACCACAATTTACATAAAACTATAATTTAAGAAATAGTTTATCTTCTAAAGATTTAGTTAATAACAGTGACACAGTTTCGTGAATTAAAATAATATTGTCACGTAACAGACTTCATGTATAGTTGTAATGTATTCTTTATTTTATGAAATTTAAAAGGCTTAAAAGCATCAAGCATCAGAATTTGATAAATTACTGTATGTCGTATGACGACCAAATTCCCTATCCTAGTCCTCAATATGGTCGCTTACAATATTTTCTGTCTTTAATATGTATTCTGTGATCGGAGATTTCATTAGTCTGTGGAATTCACATATTTTGTGTAATTTTGTGAGTTCATGTACATTGTACATAATTTTTGAAGAATCTAACTCAAGAGAAACAATATAATGCGATGGTTGATTGTGATAACTGTATCATATTTCACTAAAAAGAACTGTATTTGTGTATAATAACATTGTCAATTAATGTTTCATTGAAGTGTTGCAAGTGACAAGTGATTCGTTTGGAACGCTTTCTCGACAGTATTTCGTTGCAAATAGATTTTGTTTACTTAAAGTTCTTACTATTGCGAGTATATTTGATATGCCACGTTAAAAAAAGTTTCAAAGATGGCTAGTCCTTCGCCACAGAACAGTCCAATGCCTCCACCCCAGGCCCCGAGTCCTATGGGGCCGCCGACGCAAAGCCCGGCTCCGCCGCATTCACCCCACAGTCCATACAGTCAACAACATGTGAATGGTCCACCACCGTCTCATCCGTCTGGATCAAGCCAACCACCTATTTCAAATCATATGCCAGCATCAGGTCCTCCTCATAACATCGCGCCAAATGGTAACGGTCCGCCTGGGGTTCCACAACATCCAAACATACCGCCGAGCAGTCATCAAATGCCTTCCCATATGGTTGGCCCTCACATGTCAGGACCACCTGGTCACCCTATTAGTGCTACTGGGGCTGGCCCTAATGGACATCCAAATATGCCTGGTCAAGCCCCGCCACATGGATATATGCAACATCAAATAGGTCATATGCCACCAAATCAGGTAATATATATTTTTTTATATTACACAAAAATATTTGGGCAATAATGAGACTTTGTCCGACATACATTTACCAATAAAAATTATCTATAGATCCAAGTAGGTGATTAGCTTTGTGTTGCTTCTAGCTATAAACAATTATTGTTTTCCAAGACATCTATTTCAGCTGCCAGATTAAATAAAATTCATTGGATAATTATTGACACATCTACATAATAGCATATTAGTTTTGTTATGCTTATTATATTTCTTTAATTAATTAAGCTTTGGAGGTGATTGGTGTCTTTTGTAAATATAAAAATAACTCTCTAATATTATACGGACAAAGCATTTGGTGTATTTTTGTGTCTTTAATTATAGAGATAAACCCAAAAATAAATTTATATTATATAAAGAAACACTATCAGTTATCAACATAGTCAAAATCTTTAAGATCATAATATGATCAACTACACATTCCCACATTTCCATTTGCCAAAGCCTTTTAAGAAAAGCTTATGTTTATTTCCACAAAACCTCTACAATACTTGTCATTGTGGATGTTTAAGGATAACCCACTGTACCTTTTTAATCTTAGAAGATTACTTTACACAAATAAAGTAGTATTAAATGTACTATAAGTAAGAAAGTAGCCATTATGTTATTACTTTTTCCATCCTCTTGTGTTGTTTTGGAAATAAATAAATGTGACAAAACATTCTTTGACTTTTCAAGCTACATGCAAATAAAATCAATATGACAAATCAATCAACAGCAAATAATTATAGAGTGAAAAGCAGTAAGAGTAATCATTAGGAAAATAGTAATTTTAGCTTTTCTATATACAGATATTGTACATTGGTTGTTAAACAGTGGTCCATAAATGTCTTTTGCTATTAACAGAGTTTCATTCAATGTTGTATAGAAATGCTGTGTGAGTTGTAAAATATGATCAGGTTTAGGAAGAACATAGTTTTGATATTTCAGGTATTGTGTAAACACTATAGGAATATTTAGCTTTGTCTTTACCCAATCTGCCATGTTACCACTGAAATTATCTGTAATATTAAATACATTGAAATGTGTAAAAGCGATTAATAATGTGATTTAAATATTGGCAGTTATTCTTACAAATTAACCGATTACTTGTGTCAACATAATAAGTTTCATTGTAGATTTTGTTTACTGTTGTTGACGCTGATGTAAGTATATCCAGCTGAAAAATAAAATCAGTAT